ACGAACTCATCTATTTAATTATGCTTGCACGGTCAACTTTCGCCTAAAAACTGATCCTCTCGAGGCTTCCGACCTACACACCATAAACAAAGAAAAACCGGAAAAATATACTGAAAACACAAAGAAAAATCGAAAAAACACAAAACACACAATAAACACTAAAATGAGCTAAAAACCGACGAAAATACCTAACATGGGGGAAAAAGAACGGAGAAATAACAACGAAAAATGTAACAAAAATGGGACAAACATCACCCCCGTTGTTCATCATCCCCAACCTGTTGTTCAGGTTCCCACTGCTCAGAAGCCCGAAAAATTCAACGGGCTTGATTTCAAGAGGTGGCAACAGAAGATGCACTTCTACCAGACCACTTTGGGTTTGGTGAAGTACCTGAAAGACGACCCTCCTGTCGTGGCTGAAAATGAATCGAATGCTGAGCTGCGAGCTGCATACGATGCTTGGGGGCAAGGTGATTACCTTTGCCAGAACTATGTCCTCAACGGACTGAGTAACGAGTTGTACAATGTGTATAGCTCGGTTGGCTCTGCCAAGGAGCTTTGGGATGCCTTGGAGAAGAAATACAAAACTGAGGATGCCGGGGCGAAGAAATTCGTCGTCGGCAAATTTCTGGAATTCAAGATGGTCGACACTAAGACCGTCGTGTCTCAAGTGCAAGAGTTCCAACTCATCTTGCACGACATTCATGCTGAAGGGATGTCTCTGAGCGAGTCATTCCAAGTTGCGGCTGTGATCGAGAAACTGCCGTCGGGTTAGAAAGACTTCAAGAACTACCTCAAGCATAAGAGGAAGGAGATGAGTCTTGAAGATCTGGTTGTTTGTCTTCGGATTGAAGAGGACAATCAGAAGTCTTTAGGGAAGGCCCTGATGATGGAAGCTCGTGCCAACTTGCTGGAGCAAGGCAACTCGAGCAAAAGGAAGCCCCTTAACAAAGGGAAGCAGCAGCCTGCCAAAGTGTGGAAATTTACCGGCAATTGCCACAATTGTGGAAAGCCGAACCATATGGCTAAGGACTGCAAGAAGCCTAAAAAGGCTGGACTGAAGAAGGCACAACATAGTGCCCTCGTTGCTGAACACGGCCCTGTACCGAGTGAACTACCCGACATGCATATGTCGGTTGTGGTGTTTCAAGCCAATTTGGTGGATAACCCAAGGGCGTGGTACATTGATACTGGTGCCACTCGCCACGTGTGTTCCGACAAGGGGTTGTTTTCTAACTACACTCCTTCAACAGGTCGGAAGCTCCACATGGGCAACTCCTCCTCGTCGGATGTGGCTGGAGTTGGCATCGTGGTGCTGAAGCTGACTTCTGGAAAGGAGTTGAAGCTTAAGGATGTGCTGCATGTCCCAGACATCCACAAGAATTTGGTCTCCGGATCTCTTCTTGTAGAGCATGGTTTTAAGTTAGTGTTTGAAGCTAAGAAGTTTATTCTTAGCAAATATGGTAATTTCCTTGGTCGTGGCTATCTCGACAAGGGTTTATTTAAAATGAATGTAATGGCTGTGAGCCGTGTAACCGTTTTTACTGATAATGAAAATCGTACTTCTGTTTATATCGTGGAGTGCTCTGATTTATGGCATATTAGATTAGGACATGTAAATCTAAATGCAATTAAACGGTTGATGAACTTAGAATTAATTCCTAATTCTAAAATTGAATCACACAAAAAATGTGAAACTTGTGTTGAAGCCAAAATGGCTAAATTACCTTTTCACTCGTGGAAAGAAATACTGAACCGTTTGGTTTAATCCATACTGATGTATGTGACTTGAAGTTTGTGCAAACATGAACGGGTAAAAGATATTTTATAACTTTTATTGATGATTGCACAATGTTTTGCTACTTATATCTTTTAAGAAGCAAAGACGAGACTGTGGAAACTTTTAAAAATTTTAAGACCGAAGTTGAAAATCAACTTGGCAAAAAGATTAAAATAATCCGAAGTGATAAGGGTGGGGAGTATGTAGCTCCTTTTGAACAAATATGTTCTGAATATGGCATAATTCATCAAACGACGACCCCCTATTCTCCACAGTCGAATGGTGTTGCTGAACGCAAGAACCGGACTTTAAAAGAGATGATGAATGCCATGTTGATAAATTCAGGATTACCCCAGAATATGTGAAGGGAAGCTGTTTTAACAGCAAATCATATTCTGAATAAAATACCACCTAAAGGGAAAAATGAGACTCCTTACGAAATGTGGAAAAAATCGTAAGCCGTCTTATAAGTACCTGAAAGTGTGAGGGTGTTTGGCTAAGGTTTCAGTTCCTGAACCAAAACAAATGAGAATCGGACCTAAGACGGTCGATTGTATTTTTATTGGATATGCATACAATAGTACTGCATATAGATTTCTGGTTCATAAATTAGAAATCCGGAGGTATCGGTTAGTACCACTATTGAGTCGAGGAATGCTATATTCTTCGAGAATATTTTTCCTTTGAAGGAAAGGGCAGAATCTAGTTCTAACAAAAGGACGTATGAAACTGCTAGCGCTTCTGTACCAGATGGTACTGAAGATAATGAAGAAGAACCGAGACGTGGTAAAAGGGTAAAAACGACAAAAACGTTTGGACCTGATTTTATTACGTATATGTTGGACGATGAACCGAGTTCCATTAAGGAAGTTCTGTCTAGTCCAGATGGACCACTCTGGGAAGAAGCTATAAATA